GTGAGGTAAAAACTAAAGCAAGTAGGATACCAAAAAGTAAAGTAATGGAATTTAAAGGATAAGAATTTGGCATTAGTCTTTAAGACAAGTGCTAGAAGAGCTTAAGGAAAAAGATACATAAATGATTGGTCGGAAGCCAGCAGTAAATTATGTTGCAAGTGGAGAGGAAATGCTAGGAAAAGGAGGAAAATTACAGTCCAAAACGGTCATTTTCTGGAGTATTAACTAAAATTTACACTGCTTTCTCACGCATTTAAGTCAACACTAAGTACTTACTGAGTTTTCTAACGGTCATATTGCTCACTTAATCTTAACGTGAGCGTCAAAAGATGCAAATTTAGGTTGCAAAAGATGCAGATTTACACGTGACGAGTAGCATTGACACGACAGCGTTGTCATAGTAGTAACATTATGTAAAAACTTTTTTATAGCAGTCCAGCGCTGTCTGCATCTGCCAGCGCTGTCTCGAATAGAGGGCTGGTCTATTTTTCATGCCAATGGCCCTCGTCCACATCCGCTCCAATCCTGTGCCAGCGGTTTTAGACACATGTAAATACATTGATTTAGTCGCTGGCGTACCTTCAAAGAGTACAACAAACGACTGACTTCGCCAAGTAGGAACTGGCGTGCCAGTGAGTACCTGCCTTAACCGATACGATTTATAACGTTAACGATCATTTTTGTCAGTACTACCTTATTGCTTACGATACAAAAATACAAAAAGTGCAATATGAGGTCGAAACTTAAGGTACGTAAGAAACGAAAAATCAAAATTAAATACAAATTTAAATAGTCAAATAGCCAACGCTTTAGCGAACTCATTTCATACATATTCAAGTGATTCCGTACATGACCCATTATATGTCGAAAACAAAAAGAAAATAGAAAAAGAGGTTAAAATTACACATTCCATCAGCCCGTTAAATATTGCAATAAGTATGCAAGAACTAAACGAAGCACTGCAAGGACTTAAAAACTCCAGCTCTAGATCGGATGAAATTCCTAATTGTTTTTTAATTAATCTTCCTTTAGCTGCTAAGTATCTACTCATGAGTATATTCAATTTTTTATTTTAGACTAAACAATTTCCTAAATGCTGGAGTACCGCTACAATAATTCCTCTTTTGAAACCTAATAAAAACAAGTCAAACCCGGAATCTTATAGACCTATATCCATAACATCTTCCATATGTAAATTAATAGAAAAAACCGTAAAATAGTTTCGAAAGACAATTCAGATTTCTGCTTATAATCTGAGCCTTCTAAAAATTGCAAGGCAAACAGACGTTGATAAAAGATGTTAAAAGGGACATGGGGAATCTAAAATTTGCATTCCACGATATGTCTTTTACAACTAAGCAGAAATCCTTAGCGATAAAAAAATAGATATTGTACAAAATACCGCACGAAAACTAGCTCTAGGAGCCTACAGAACCAGTCCAGTTAAAAGTCTTTATGTCGAAGCAAATGAATCTCCACTTTCTATTAGAAGATTACGTCTCAGTTTACAATACGGAAGCAAGCTATCAACTAATCCAAACAACTTGGCCTACCCCTCTGATTTCTTCACACATTACCGTTCTAATGACAATCAAAATCCTAACCTTCGACCATCATTTAGCAATAGAATTAGCAACTTCATATTTGCGAGTATGCATACCAATATTGATTACGCTCCCCCTTGGATTATACAAATTCCACATTGTAACACAGATCTGTCAAATGATATCAAGGACAATACCCCTTCATCCCTTTTTCTCCAATACAATATTAAAAATAAATATTCATCCTGTCATCCTGTCAACTAGTTTATACCGATGCATCAAACACATCCTAATTGGAAACAATAGCAAAAGCAAAAAGCAAAATTCTAAATTATAATCAATTTGATGGGGTTATTCTCCAATAAAAAAATACAATTTTAAAATTTTAAACACTTATGATGTTACGACGGGCAAAATAATTTTAAATCAGCACTAAATTATCGTAAGCAATTATTTAAGTTAAAAATCCTGTTTTTGGCAAAATTGTAACTTAGGATGTTTTTACAAGTACCCGTGGATATAGAGTATAATTTTTATTTTATATATTTAATAATGTAATTTTTATTTCCAACGTGCATTGAATTTATAATATATTTTCTAACGTGCATTTTTAATACAACTTTATCCAAGATTCCTTGGTTTATCGTCTGGGATCAATAAAATAATTCAATATTTTACAGACGTTTCAACAGTTTACTATGTTTGATGAATTTTTTATTGTCTGGATTATAGGTTACAGTGTTAAAAATTAAAACCAGATGGACTCTAACATGAAAAATAAATAAACACTAAAAACATTAAAATACTAAACGCATAAAACGTTACAGTTGGCGAAGCTGCAAACATTTTTAATATATATATATATATATATATATATATATATATATATATATATATATATATATATATATATATATATATAGGTATATCTTATATTCCACTGTACTCTACTTCTATTTACCAGGGGCAAAATTATTTACCATTTTTTTTATCTTAAACGTTGCAGTCATTTTAATAAAGCAATGCTGTAGCCATCTACATAATTTGTTCAGGCATAAAATTTCAGTAAAGAGCACCAAAGTTTCTTAGAAAGGAGTAAAATTACCAATCAATTTAAAATTTCTCGATGTCAATTATTAAGTTATATAAGATACATTATTAAGATTTAAATTTATGTATGTTTAGACCTTTGAACTAAGTTTGTACATTTTTCATGTTTCTATTGTTGTACATGTTTCTTAAGTCACTAAACTCGAAATCCGAAGATTTCGAGACCAAATTCAGATTTTTGCTTTAATCTGTGCCTTCTAAGAATTGCATGGCAAAACAGACGTTAATAAAGATGTAATGAGAGAAATGGGGAATCTACAATTGCATTCCACAACATATCTTCTCAACTAAGCAAAAATCCTCTATGAATTGGTTTCTGATTGGTAATTCGTAATTCGTGAAGCCACCGGTCAATACAAGAGGAGAAACACACACCTCCTCATAAATAAAGACGGTAATCTGGCGACGACAGTGAATGAGAAGTTGGTTACCTGGAAAATATATATCGAAGAACTTTTCTGGGACGACCGAGGCAACCTTCCGGAAATAAATTGCATGACAGGGCCGTCAATTCTAGAAAGCGAGGTAAAGGCTGCTTTAAAACAGTCCAAGAATGGTAAGGATACAGGTCCGGACGAAATACCCGTTGAACTTAGCTCAAGGAGTTAACTGAACTGTTCAACGCCATATACGATTCAGGTAATATCCCAGAGGAATGGCTATTGTCAACATTTGTAACGCTACCAAAAAAAAACGATCTGCAAAAACGTGCGAAGATTTCCGAACTATCAGTCTTATGAGTCATGCAATTCGGATTCCGCTATTCCATGGGTACACGTGAAGCACTTTTCACCTTACAAGTCCTATTTCAGAGATGCCGCAATGTCAGTTGTGATGTCTATATTTGTTTTATTGACTACGCCAAGGCATTTGACCGTTGTCAGCACCAGAAGATGGTCACCGCCCTACAAAGAGTAGGATTGGATGAGAAGGACATTCGGATCATCATGAATTTATACTGGAACCAGCGTGCTCAAGTCAAGGTCGAAGACCAGCTGACCGACCAGGTGAAGATCATGCGGGGAGTAAGGCAAGGATGTGTGTTATCGCCGACTCTTTTCAATATATACTCTGAGGAGATTTTTACTGAAGCCCTCACAAACCTAGAGATGGGAATCCGTGTGAACGGTGAATACATCAATAATATCCTCTACGCCGATGACACTGTGTTACTAGCAACCAGCCTAAATGATCTGCAGGCCTTACTAGACCGAGTGCGAACTGTAAGCGTAACATACGGACTAAACCTTAATATTCAGAAAACTAAATTCATGGTTGTCAGCCGTACAAATTTAGATCCCGGGCCACTAATGGCAAGTAGCGAAGAGATCCAGAGAGTCGACTGATTCACTTACCTCGGAACTACCCTCAACTCACAATGGGACTACGCTCAAGAGATTAGATCCAGAATTGAAATGGCACGGTCTACATTTATTAAGTTGAGATCCTTGCTGTGCTGCAGTGATCTCAGTTTGGGAACCAAGATGCGGATAGTGAGGTGCTACGTTCTTCCAGTGTTACTATATGGAGTTGAAGCCTGGACACTGACGCAAGCCACTGAAAAACGAATCGAAGCCTTCGAGTTGTGGATATACAGAAGGATACTAAAAATATCTTATGAGAACCATGTCACCAACGTTGTCTACAACGCATGATAAAAGAAAATAAAGTTCTTAATTTAATTAAACAACGTAAGCTTGAGTAACTCGGCCACGTGATGCGGAAAGAAGAAAAATATCGAAAACTCGTTATGCAGTTTAAAGTATTTGGCAGAAGAGGACCGGGAAACCGTCGTATCTCGTGGTTCCAAAAATCTCCGACAATGGTTTGGGATTACCTCAGCGGAGCTGTTTCGCAGAGCAGTCAACAAAACTATGATAGCCTTGATGATCGCCAACATCCGGACCGAATAAGGCACTGAAGAAGAAGAAGAATTGGTATCTAGTACTCATAAAAAGTAAATCGAAATAAAAGGAAAGACAGTTAAGATAAGATTTTACGTATAGTACCTCTTTATTTTCGCTAACAGGAAATATTGTTTTCACGTTCAGAGCATATGTAAATAGTCGCTCCGAAGATTCCTTTTAGGATTAAATCTTTCTTGTCTGATGAAGTATTTCATTTTTTTTAGTTTCTTAAGTGTTCAACCATGACCTGAGTTGGAAAAGTAAGTATTTATAGACTTTTGAAACAAATAAAGCAAGGATTTAGTACAGAAGCACCGTAATAAAAATAGCCGGAGCTAATTTTTTAAAAATTTCAGGTTATCGATTCCCAGAAATTTGATATAAACATATAATAGAGTGTCCATTGTTTAATTATTTCAGGAAAATTATTATTACTCACCTGACCAGTTACAGGTGCATTATTGGGATCTCCGGATTCCTTTCCCCAAGAACATTTAACAATTTGACCGTTGATGTCTGTATTATGAACTGCTACTATAGCATGCGTAGCGGATTCTTTTGTAGAAAATCTGAAAAAGTAAAGAAACGGCTATAAGTAAGAGTCACATACTGTCCTCAGAAGCAAAAACGAAGTACGTTACTCAATAAGCAATTCAAGATTTTCAACTTTTTGATCTCTGCTAGAAAAACATTCAATAAATTTACATTTTATGAATCACTTTGCGAGTGAAATCTCCCAGCAAACTATAAAGGTTGCACTGTCTATAAGGAGTTACAAAAGAAAACATGTTCCGTACTTAAAGTTAAATAAACACCGCTAGCCACTTTCATAATTAATTCATTTAAAACTCAAAATAATACGCAACCGCCAGTTTGGATTTAAACAGGAGCAGGCCACCACAGAGCCAATTTACCGCGTCTGTAATTTTATTAATGAAGCTCTAGAAACGAAGAAATTAAGTTTAGCAGCTTTTTTGAGTATTTTTCAAGTGTTTTATAGAGTCTGGTATTATTTGTTGGCTGTATAAACATAGGCAAGTTATTCTTCTAAATTATTTTCTTATCCTTAAGTCCAACACTAATATTTATTCAAAAATATTCCTTTTAGATATTTGTATATTTCTCTAATTGTAAATAAAAGATTGTTAAATTTTAGCAATCAAAAATTACGGAAATTTTTGAAAGAAATAGGACTAGATAATACTGATAGTGAATGATTGACATACGAAGATGAATTAGATGAAGAGAAACAGGGCATTAGGGAAGTTATACATCATGGCAGTGATCAGAAAAAGAAAACCGTACAACTCACTGAAAGAAGCATTTTCTAAAGTCAAGAATTAGTAGAAAAATACATACGAACATAATAATTCGCTTACCAGGGCCTATAAAATTTACTAAAAATTTAAAGGACGCTGTCAAGATTTGGAATTATTTCTTGGATGGCATAATAAGAATTGGTATCAATCGGTGTAAAAAATTTTCAAAACGGTTATAATCATTCGACATTTATTATCACTGATGCGATAGTTCCTGCTTTTAAAGGAAAATTTCTTTAATAATCATTGCCACATTCCTTTATTCAGTATACATTCCCTTAAAACCTAGTAACCACGAACTCAATATATTTGCAGTTTGTAATAATACAAAAGAGGAGTGTAGAGTTGTGTTATAGAGGTAGGACCTTTTATTGGAACGACCACATCAAGCGTCATAGACCAGAGATGGTTCTTGATAACTGGTCCTCATAAGACAACTAACTCTTACTTATGGCTCCACGTGCTACACCCCGAGCAACTGCGTTGGTCTGCAGGCTAAACTAAATGAGGGTAGCCAGATATGGCGAAAATTAAAAAAAAATTGTGTTTAGGGCACTCTTTTGCCCTGGAGTTGAGAAATCAGCTCCGAAGGCGGATGAACCAATAATGTGTCAACGGCATAAGGATCAAGCAGGCAAATGGAAAACCAATTGATTACATATTCCAGAGCACGTTATGAAATGACAAATGAAAGCAACCGGCGCCATGTCGAGTCCGGGTCGATGGGTGTGATAGTGACTGGAAACCCAAAAATAAAACTACTTACAAAACACCATATAGCCACATAGAACGTTAGAGGTTTGTTAAAACCAGGAAAACTACATATCTTAGAACGAGAGCTTGTAAGAGAAAAAGTAGACATATGTGAAGTTTCAGAAACCCACTCTAAAGGTCAGGGTCACTGGGAATCTACTATAATATATTCATGTGGGGAGTCAATAAACCTAATTAAAAAGGCGTAGCAATACTGGTACAGAAGAACCTGGCAAAATGTGTATATGAATACCTTCCAATCAATTACTGCCTAATTAAAATTACTCTCGATGGACAGCCAACAAAGATCCATATACTACAAGTGTATATGCCAACATACGATGGAACAGATGAATAAGTGGAAGAGATGTACCAGTTATTAAATAGTAACATCGCTAATATATCCAAAAAAGAACCAGTCATATTATTGGGTGACTGGAACGCAAAAATAGGCAAAACATCAACAGAAGATTTGCTGAAAGGTATACAGTTGGTGGGTTTGGAATAAGTGAACGAAATGAGAGAGAAAAACAGCTATTACAATTTGTCATCGACACTGAACAGTATTATAAACACTTTTATAAACATCACAATAGATCCAAATATATGTAGATGATATTTTTGAGAGATTAAGTAAACGCATTGGTTCATTCAAATTGAAAAAGAAGAGCAGCTCTTACTAATATTCCGAGTACGCTGAAGCTTAGATTTATGGAAGTAGCTCGAAATAATGAACTGGAAAATCAAACACTGCCATTACCTGCTGGAAGGTGCATCTACTACGGCTAAAGAAAGAATAGAAAAACTCATTTTTTCTGCTATAAATGCAACTGTATGTCAGAACTGTGGGAAACTATAAGAAAATTATATAGTTTTGTTTTTTTTTGCAGCAATTTATTGCAATTGTATTGAATTTGAAATCGTTATTTTCTTGACGACCGTCATTTTAATTAAAATAGGAACTCTTATAACTAGTACTTAATAAATCCAGTAGTCAATCATTTATATAAATTTTACCTTACAAAGGCATATCCTTTTTCTTTAAATACTCTAATTTCTTGTATGGTTCCAAATGGAGCAAAAGTCTTTTGCATCAGTTCCTCTGTCAGACCGTTTGTTATACCTCCACAATATACTGTACAATTTGTTGGACTGCTTTGGTTGTAAACTTCATCGAATGTCAGTGGTTTGGAGTTTACTGAAACAAAAAAAAAATAATAAATTATTCTTTTTCAAATAAGTAATATTTTGTTGTATTTCATTCGATTTAGAAAATTTCTTTTTATTGAACATTGTTAATTTTTTCGATTGGTAGACAGTTTTTCGAGGAAATTAAAGACATGTTTATACTTTGCTTAAAAAGAGACAAATTCTATATTAAGAATGATGATTATTTGAAGAAGGTCGCTGTACTGGAATTTTAGCCTAGTCCTAAAAAGCGATCAAGCTGCACGAGGTGCAAAGCTCAAACTTATAACTTATAACTGGTGGACTAGTTTCAAAAGGAATAGGCCACAAGCAAGACAATTCATAGAGTAAAGTTCAAAAGACTAAAAATCTCTAAAAAATAAAAGTATGAAGTTCTTACAATTAAATCTGCAACATGCCAAGGTTTATGTAAGTTTAAATTTGTACTTACTATAGAAACCATGGCTTCGAAAAGTATATATTGCAGACCTAACATTTTAATAAGATAAGGAACTATACTGCTCAAAACGAGAAATATTTGGAACCTCTAAAGTATACAGTACAATTTCAATTGTATACTAAATTCGGTGCTTGTATTGAAGATTTTGTTACATCTAAACTGAAAATGCAGTTTATTTATACCAAAGTACGTAGTTGCCATAGGGAAAACTTTAGCATAGTAGTGATCGAGAACTTCTTTCTGTTGTTATGTTGTTCGTATAAGTTTTCAACCTTTGGATCTGCTTTACCAGATGTAGCGCATATACTAGCGTCATGTTGATGCTAAATGGTTTACATGCCTGTTGCATCCCGATGATTCGTGCCGATCATATTGTCAAGTTTATTACTGATTTCTTTATTTTGTTGACACGGGTCGTTGTTTCTAGATCCAGAATAGTAAAACAGTGTGTCTTCATGTTGACCTATTCCCTTTCCAGACGATCTCGTTTTACTGGTTTCTAAAATATCAATATTAAAACGTTTCATTTCGTCATTTCTTTAACGGCATTATTTAGCTTTGCTGATGCATATCTAGTGCGTATATTCCATGCAGAAATTCTATCTTTTAACTTTTTTATATCAATCCGAGGGTTTCTAGCTCTCTCTGGTGATTAAATAAGAGTCGTAGAGGGCCATTTTTTTAACTTAATTTATTAAAGTAATATTATCAATATGAATTTTTCTTCTTCCATTCTATCCTATCCGTTAGGAATGTTGGCGATTATCATGGCAATCTGCACCAGCGCGGAAAAGTTTCAGAGATGTTGTATTGAACCAGATTCTCAGGTTTTTTAACCAAGATGTCCTTCTTCTTCGTGGACCTCGTTTTTCAAATATTTTTCCTTGCAGGATGTCTTGAAGGAGAGCATATTTGGATTCATTTCGCATAAATTGTCCGAAGAACTGTAACTTTCGAGATTTGATGATGGTTAGTACCTCTCAATTCTTATTCATTCTTCTGAAGGCCTCCTCATTGGTGACTCGGTCAGTCCACGGGATCTTAAGCAGTCTCCGATATAGCCACAACTCAAATGCTTCCAGTTTTTTGCACATATCTTTGTTCAAGGTCCACGATTCAACACCATAAAAAGGACAGAAAAGACGTAGAATCGCAACATTCTTACTTTTGTATCAAGCGAGAGGTTCTGACTCCCATCTCGAAGAAGGCCCCATCCCATTGAAGGTGGATCTAGCTTTTTCGAGCGTGCTCTAATCTTCTGACTGTTGGTCCATTCTCTATTTATTATAATGCTGAGGTAGTTGTAGTGCGCCACTCTTTCTACAGGGAATTGGTTGACGTAGACCTTCTGTTATTATTTTTTTGCTTATTAATATAACTTTGTTTTCTTAACGTTTATATTGAGTCCTTGCTGTTGATTGTAATACGTGATTTTGTTCATAAGAACTTGTAGGTCTTCAAAGTAGTCCGCAAATATTATGGTGTCATCTGCATATCCAATGTTGTTTAGCCGGTAACCATTTAGTTTAATACCTTTTTCAGTTTTGTTCAAAGCTTCGATAAATATTCTTTCAGATTATAGATTGAAGATTAGAGGAGACAAAATACAGCCTTGCCTCACTCCACGCATGATTTTCACATAGTTAGTGTGTTCACCTTCAACTCTGAGATTTGCTGTCTAATTCCAGTAAAGATTTCTAATTATTTTTTCTTGGTTGTTAATTCTCGTTTCTTTTAATATTTGCATCATCTTGGCGTGCTGTACTCGATCAAACGCTTTTTCGTAATTAATATAAATTACCAGGAGAAATTTCATTTGCGTTGTCTGCCCTTACTATCTCAACTGTAATTTCAGCCGTTCCTGAAATAGAGTACTGGCGATTTTTGCAGTCGGAGTAGCTGCTGTGCTTCTTTACTACGCCCAAAAGCCTGAACTGCAGCTTCCACCATTGACGGCGAACTGTAAATTTTCTATATAGAACTGGATCACAATTTAAACTTAGCCATCAATTTACTCCGGCGTACTAAAATAATATTTTAGTATGTCATTTCCGCAAATTAAAAGTATCAGATTGGCATTATCCAAGCAAACAACAGAAAAGGAGCATATTTTCCGGAAATAAATTGATTTCTATCACGGTTACTCGTAGAGAAGTATTAGATATTAATACTTTGCAATGAAAAAGCACGCAACATCATGCAAAAGTAAAGGTTTTATGTTCTTATAATAGACAAATTCGGTTCGAACTAAGCTCCCTATCTCGACACAAGTATTTCACACTTGAAATGTCTCTAGAGTAGTGGAAAATCTGGAACTGATTGTAGACTGCCAATTGTCAAAGTCATAACGGTCACTTAATATAGAAATTGTCTAAATGAAGAGATTGAGGAAATTAAAGAAAATTACATTGGATGGACCAAGTAATTGTATAAATTTAGGGAAGAAGTATAAAAAGGCAATTTAGTAAAACGCTGCAAGTAGGCAGGTTTCGCACTGCGTGATATTCACCCTTTCGATTCTGACGGAACGTATGTATGCCAGTCATAAAATCATTAAGTCTCTTGTGCTAAATCTAAACCGTTTTACATGAATTTTTATAGTAACCGACTTAAGAACTTAACATCAGTTTTGAAAGAATAATGTGTGTAAGCGGCAACACTGCAAACCATTTTCGTGCTGTGTTTGCTTGTGATGTTGATCGATGGAATGTGCTTAAGTAGTTTTGTTGATGATTACCACATGGACAGTTGTGCGCTGTTACCGTTGTTGCGAATTTGTTTTTGCGAGTGGAGCTACCTACAAAAAAGGTAAATATATTCAACAAAACTAGTATTTTGTTTTATGGGTGAAATATGTCCCAACAGACATTTATGGTGGGTTATATGTGTCTCAACAGTCTTGTTTTGTTCTAGATGAGTAGAAAGATATTGACGCAGAAAGAGCTAGAGGAGGAGGCAGCAGCCATTTTTGTCAGCGATTTGAATCAGAACTCGATCCTTTTGAGACTAGTGGCTCCGATGATGATGACTACAATCCATCAGGATGTGAAGCAGACTTATAACGAGAGCGTCACGAAATATATTTAGGTTCCGAGCGCAATAAGCTGGATAAAGAGAATCAGATGATAAGTGACGAAAGTGAAAAAGAAAGCAGTAGTGATGAAAATGATGAAACAGACGGAGGTACGTACCAACCAGGTATTTGGTTTCATAACGATGAAACTTTTTTACCACGTTTTTCGGTTCCATCAGAAAAAAAAGTCGATTGTACTCTTCCTCATACCGTGACTGAAATATTTCTAAAACTCTTTCCCAGGAGCCTCATTTGACATTTTTGACAAATTTGGAAACGACACCAAGAAAAAAAAATTCCTACTGATGAACATTATGATTGTATTGGTTGTCACAATAATCATGGCATACAATCGGGTTCCATCTTTCAATTATTATTGGTCACAAAATGATTGTTTAGGAAATTTAGCAATAAAAAAGGCAATTTCTCAAGACCGCTGTAAACTGATCCTTGCCAAATGTATTGCGCTGATATGGTAAAGCCTGAGAATGCGAGAAAATCATATTACATCGAGGATGTCACTAATTGTCTAAAACTATTGTCCAAAGTGTTCGATATTGTCCAAAATATCGAACAAAGGCGGCTTTTCAAAGCATTGATGAGTCAATGGCGAAATTTAATAAAAAGTCTTCCCTAAAACAGTTCCTACCCATGAAACCCATCAAACGGGAATCAAAATATCGGTACGAAGTGACTCTGCAACAGGATATGTCTTTACGAGGGAAAGAAAACAGGAAATGATACTAGTTTATTATTGCTAGAAAGAGTAGTGACCAAACTAGTGAGTACTATAAGCGGAACTGATGTATTATTGTGTTTTGACAGATTTTTCTCATCTACTAGACTACTTGATACTCTATCTTATCCAGCTATAGGAACAATAATTGCAACAAGGGGAAATGTACCAAAATTTGTTGGGAAGTTGATTTGTGGTGACTCAGAATTCATAGTACACAACCACGGCACCATAGTTTGCAGATGGCAAGATACTAAAGACGATAAGCGATGTCCTGAACTGCTCGATAATAAGAAAATGGGCAGCGTGGACCTAACAAATCATATTTTGGGCTTGTATGATTTTGATAGGAAGTCTACCAAATGGTGGAAGAAAGTATTTTTTCGCTTTCTGATGTTGGCTGTTGGTAATTCTCATGTATTACACAATGATCTAAGAGAGAAAGAAAACACACCATTTTTGCCTTTTCTAATTAGTGTAGCTCAGGGACTTATTTCATTGGGAAGAAGCCATGCTGCAGTTAAAAGAAAAGCCTCGACATCACTTGGACGTCCTTCAGCAAAGAAACCAAAATTAAAAAGACCCGTAGAAGATGTCAACGATATTCTTCTCAGAAAAAAGAAAAACGAACCACCACACTACGTCAGAATTGCAATGTACCCTTGTGCAAAACATGTTTCACACCGTTTTATTTACATTAAATATTGATGTTAGTTTTAGTCCTTTTGTTTTCAAAATATGAGATTTTATTTGTATTTTCGATTTTTCTTTACTAAAATAAAGTAATAATTTGGTGTCTGATGGGTTATTATAGTCCCACATATGTGTTCCAAAAAAGTCTGACTGGGACATATATGTCCCGCATAAAATGGCGGATCTCAAGGATAAAAATAATCTCAATCACTTTTTATTTTTGCATAATTATTCGTTTTAAACAAAATAAATTTAAATTCCATACCGATCCTGAAAAAAAATCCGGCTCGAAAGTGTTAACATATAAAATACTATTCGAATTGCATTAAAAGTATAGACATTACAAAATACATTATAACTTCTATTTATTTAAAAACAAATATACATAGTTTATTATTTTTGAAAATGGGATTATTTCATTTTTAAATACCACTTCTACTATAACGGTTGAATAACTATGTTCAAGTTACACTAGCATTTTTCAAAACTGTAAACATTTCATTAATTTTATAAAATGGAATCGAGTGGTACTTTAGGCATTCAAGAGTGTTTGGAAATCGTTGTTTACTATACTGCGCGTCAATTTTGTAGCGCGCCAACTTGAACACTGTATTTTAGGCAGCATGAAAACCATTCACATTACTCCAATGTTTTATGGAATATTAATTTAGAGATTGTTCTTTACCTTAACATAAAAATTGATGAAATTTTATGACACAATAATTCTTTATTGTAACAAGAAATACATACATGGCGTGTCAAACATATTTCAATCTTATATTACGACTAAATTATGGAGTATGGAAAAAATGTTTATAATGAAACTGATGTATATCACAGACGCCTATAATTTAAAATTATTTTTAATTATACAAGGTCAGTCGGAATAAGGGAAATACCAAAGTTATATTTTTTAAATGAAACAACCTATATAATGAAGTATTCTTGATATAACTACTTTTAAAAATACACTCTGGGTCAAAATTAACCGCCCACCTTAAAAATGGGTAATTTTTGATTTCTTT